CTGCGTCTGATATTCGACAGGATGTAGCGGCGTGTCCATCAGCTCACGCAACTGGGCGAATGTGGCTTCCAGGTGATCGCCATCGAAGACGTTGGCTTGGAATGCGCGATCCGCAGCGTCTCTGGTCAGCACACCTAGCAGGGCAACACTTTGTTCTTCCTTTGGGAACCTCCGGATGTAAGCACGGGTTTGGAGTTCTCATCGTGGATAGATGCAGCCCGCGGTGAACTTCTCTGGTGGGGGCAACGGCGCAGTAAGATTCAAATTGAGCGCATTACTGGTGAGTATCTTTCTCACAATGTCAGCCCGCGGTGAACTTCTCTGGTGGGGGCAACGGCGGAGTAAGATTCAGATTCAGCGCATTACTGGCGAGTATCTTCCTCACAATGTTATCAACCACATTTTCGGAGCTGCTGGGGTTGCGACACGCCAATTTGCTGTCCTTCAGCTCCCGTGCAGTCGGCTTTGGGATCTTCGATCCTGCCCGCGACGCCATTTTGTAACGCGAAATCAGAAGACGAGTTCGCTGGACAATATCAATTCGTGACACACTAAACAAATGGTCAATACAGATAATATGCACAATACGAATTTACAGTCAAGTACGTTTCACGAGTTCACGGAGGATTTATTGTCCGTTAGTGAATCAACAACAGAACGGTCTGAAACGAGAGCAAGACGGCATAGAATATCACAGCGTTCTAGTGTCAATGGCATTAGTCTCTTGGCATAAGGGTAACAATAATCTGATGGTAAATGGCGCTTAAGCAGAATAACAGTGTGACAAAGGCAAGGCTGCATACGTCGGTCGGTGGCTTTGGTTTCGGTCACGCAGCACAGTATCACTCTGAGTTTATTAGTGACCTTGAAGTTGAAAGTGCGTTGCGCTACAATGTGAAATGGAGTGTTAAAACAACAACTTATTCCACCCAACAATTCCCGGTTATACTTCGCTTTCACAAACTTCCTGACCATTTTCCCAGATCTTGTTGTGTGTTATATGAGGCCATTGTTATTATACCTTGCCTGCCATGATCGTGCACCACATGCATGTCTCTCGTTGTAATCCCAGAAATATACCATTAGTATTATTATAATTATTAAAGCTGGATCTGTGAAATTCAAAACTCTGGTGCGCACTCTCATAAGCATTCTGTCGCCTTACCGCACGGTAACTCCTGGTTATGGTCTGACGTCTATTTTCACTGCGGTACCCTATCATTTTAGTACAACGTGCTAAGTGTGCACTTATGTTTAGTATTGTTCCGTCGCATGCTCCGTTTTCCCCTCTCCCTTCCCTCTTCAACTGGGTTCTACCCCAGACTACTGCATATAGTCTCTTTGTTCCAGATTCGGTTCTCTTGGGCCTGCCAAAGGCTTGGGGTGGTCACCCACAATGGACAATTTGGCTCCGGCAATGGTTGTTGGGCACGGCTGTTTCCACCGTTTTCGCTACATGCGTCCGCGTTCCGGACCAGGCTGACGATCACTCCCCCTGCCTCACCTACATGATGTTTTAAGTTTAGGTGTCTAGCGTGTAGTTATTCCCACATCAGAGCGATCAACGCCTAATCAATCTAAATAATCCAAATCACTGCTTGATCGATTGAAGCCCCGAACCCAGTGAACTTGTATCCAGAAGCGAGTTGTATTGCAGCATAGAGTGAAACATGTTCCTTTACCGACGTATTATTATGGCTGTATTCTCCCCTTCTATTCCTGTCTTCACCTCCATCATCAGGCAGCATTTGTTCCACAGACCGCCTCTCCGTATTTCCCCGCACTGTTGTCGTACGTCAATCTTTCCGAGACCAGTTTTACCATTACTTCCAGTTCTAGTGACATGCATTTTCAATGCATCCTCCATCCTACATCAATTTGTTTGTGGCCTTGTCCGGTTTGTGTTTCTTTGACACTGTATTTTCGTTCTGATCCCCACCATTTTTATTGTCTACCTATGTATTTGCACTGTTATTGTACATATACTCGCTCTGATAATTTGATCATGCCTTGTGCATGTCTCACGGGCTCCGTGAAATATACACCTATTATTATTATTATATGCATTATATATATTATTGTTACATACTTTTATAAGTATTATGACCCATCTTTGTCTAAATCATATCCATGTGATTGCGCTTTCATCTGATTCGATGGGCTGAACTCCGTGGCACATGCTAACTAGGTAGTTGTGTCTACTGTATCAACTGATGTTCTACCATTACGAGTATTCACCTCCATTTGGATCTGTAGAACCAGACATATTTTGACAACATCCTGCCACCAGTATTATGACCTAAGTTCCATGCTTGATTAGAATTTGGTGTTTGCTTCTTGCTGTTTCTTTCCCTAATCCCTTCTCAGCTTGGCTGCACCCCAGACTGCCGATGTTTGCCTTCCTATTCCAAATCCGGTTGGT